AAAGAAATTTCCTCAATGTTAGGAATAGGGTACCTATTTAGCTCTATTTGCTTATTCAGTGTAGTTTTATAATCTCCACAAATTCTTATAGAACCATCCTTCTTTAACACTGGCACAATGGGCGTTGCCCAATCGGAATAGTCTACCTTCTTTATGATGCCATTAGATTCCAATCTACTTAGCTCATTTTCAATTTTGTTCCTCATTGCATAAGGTGGAACTCTAGCTTTGCAGTATCTTGGATTTGTGTCTTTAATGCTTAACTTCACTGTTCTATCATTTAGTAAACCTGAATTGCCAAAAACACTTTTATTTTCAGATATTACTTTATCTATTGAAGTAAGACTAGATTCTCTTACATTCTTCAATGAACAAATACTCTTCCAATTTAACTTAAGATTACTTAACCAGTTCCTACCTAGTAATGGTGGTCCATTTCCTTCAACCACAAGAAGAGGAAGTTTAACACTTTGACCATTATAACTTACATGAACCATACACTCTCCTATTACCGGAACATTGTCACCAGTGTATGTTGTTAGACACTTGTGACATGGCTGTAGAGGCACTGATCCTCCTGTGACAGCGTCAAAATCTTTCTTTGTTATGACTGTTAGAGATGCTCCAGTGTCAAGTTGGAAGCTGATGCTCTTACCGTTGATATAAACTGGTACATTGATGGGAGCATGACTTATTGATTTCACAGAGAACAGGTTGAAATCCGGCTGCGAATCAGTTTGAGCATTTTCACTGGTAGAGTGGTTCATTGGTTGGGTTAGGTAGTCTTGGTGAGAGTTAACATAGTGCTGCCTTTGGTTGCGGTACTGTCTTGACTGGCTAGATTTAGCAACAGACGAAGACTTTGCAAAGCAGGCCTTGGCAATGTGACCTTGCTTACTGCACTTATAACAAGTTGCAGACTTGAACTTGCACCGATGAGATGCATGGGGACCTTTGCATCGATGACATTTTTGATAATTATTACTAGATTTAGATCTAGGCTTTGAACGTGCAGGCTGTTTAGCATAAGTTGAAATGCTCTGATGGGGTTGGTGTTTGTTGACTAACCTGCTGTTTACTGCATGGATCCCTGGAGGCGTTAGAGATTTTGCCGCATCTGATGACTGCTGGATTGAAGTTGCAAGTTGTATTGCTTTTTCTAATGTTAGATCTGACTCGAGCAGCAACGTTCTTTGAATATCAGGGCTGTTTACACCTGTCACAAACTTTTCACATAGTCTGTCAGACAGCGTATCTCCGAATTCACAAAATTCACTTAAATGACGTAAAGCAGCAACATATTCTGATATTGACTCGTTTGGTTGACGAGTCCTACTGTCAAATCTAGCTCTACATAGAAACTTTGATGGGGTAGGCGCATGGTGGTCTGTTAGCAATTTGCTCAGCTCGTTAAAGCTCTTGGTAGTTAGACTAGCTGGTGCGCATAAGTCCTTTAGTAGCCTAAATTGTTGAGGCCCTATAACTGTTAACAAAACAGCTCTCTTTTTGGCTTCTATCGTCACGTCGTTTGCTTCAAGGTAAAAGCTTAACCTATCTAGGTAATCTTGAATGATTTCATCATTCGAATCAAATTCTTTTATTTGGCCATACAGCGCCATTATTCTAGAAATACTTAGCTAATAAGCTCTAGCAAACCTCTTTTTTGCGTAAGTAGGTGCTCTTTCTAGTAGATTTTTATCCTCGTCGTCAGATATAATAGATTGACGATAGAAGCATGTGGTTGTATATAAAACGTTTATTGGGTCTAACTACATGTTGATAACCAGAGAGAGAGAGAGACGGAAATGACGAGAGACAACTATTTATATATATGTAAGGGACATCACTCAAGATAACAATATAAATATAATACTAATACAGAAGAGTGAGTTCCCTTGACCTCACAATTATCTCAATCTATTACACTGGTGAAATGACTAACATGCGCTGCCAGACATCTCTCGGGTGTGTGTGTGGGGGGGGGGGGGGGGGGGTCATGACTACGACCCCCCCCCCCCCCAACAAATTGGAAAGAAAAATATTTTGTGGAAAATATAAACTTTAACCAGTGTCCGTACTTCGGACGTTTTTAGTGCCCCCCCCCCCCACCCCAAACACATTTCGAAGAATGTCTGAAAGAAACCATTGCATATTATTTCCTTTAGCTGATTCGCACAAACCGCCATTGTTGTGTGAGCGAAGAATTTAAAATGGGCGCAATGTTAAATTTTATAATTGGAACGCGAGACATAATTTATGCTAACTTTCTCACGGCGACCACCGCTGAGCACACACTTTGCACAGCACGAGTTTCCCGCCCTTGGCTTCCGATGCAATCAAAGGAGCGGCTAGTGTTGGCCAACAATGCCAAATTTGTGTTGACTTTTGCTCAACGTTCAATTGAACGAACGTGACCGAATGGTATTTTCTTTTCGAACTTTTTACACCAAAATAGTTAACGAGTGATCGTAGACTCGCATGTCAAAAGTTAAATTATTTTTGACGTATAAGCGAAAAATTCTAAATCTTACAAAAATTTGAAATTAACAGTAGAGATGTTAAAAATTTTAGCCGATGGGTAGGCTTAAAAAAACAGCGCATCGCGAAGCTATAGCCAAAATTACCTGCGCAACGTACGGCGTCAAAACGGCCAATGACAAAACGGCCCCGTCAAAACCACCCCGACAAAACGGCCCCTACATAAGAGCCCCGTCAAATCGCCCCCCCCCCCTCAAAAGGGCCATCGACAAATGGATCCCGTTATATAGGCTCCAGACAAAAGGCTCCAGGCAATAAGACTCCCGACAGATAGGCTCCCATTATTTAGGCTCCCGATAAATAGGCTCCAGTCAATTTGGCTCACAAAAAAAAACGGTTCCCGTCATTACAACTCCCGACAAATAGGCTCCCGTCATTTTGGCTCCAGACAAAAGAGCCCCTTTCAATACGGTTTCCGTAGAGACTAAGTCTCCCGGCGAAAGGTCCTCATTGAATATGACACCTGCCAGTGGGACTCCTTCATCAATATTCTTTAGAGTTACCTTAGTTAACACTCTTAAATAATTCAACGTGTGCATCTCTTGTTCGGCAGGCCTTATCCATCATTTGTCGGGAGTCAATATGACGGGAGCCCATTTTTCAGGAGCCAACATGTCGGGAGCCCATTTGTCGGGAGCCAATATGTCGTGAGGCCATTTTTCAGGAGCCAACATGTCGGGAGCCCATTTGTCGGGAGCCAATATGTCGTTAGGCCATTGTCGGGCGTGTATTTGTCGTGAGCCCTTTTGTCGGGAGCCAATTACTCAGGAGCCGAGATGTAGCGAGCCAATATGTCCTAAGCCTATCTGCCGGGAGCCAAAAAGGCTTTTTAAAGATTATTTTACGTAAATGGGTGTCCTCCCGAATTAAAAATATCAAATATTGATTTTAAACCTAACCCTCAACTTAGCTCTAGCTGTAGCTTTAGCCATAACTCTACCCCTACCCCAAACTCTATTTTTTTTTAAATAACAAATTAAAAAAATTTTTTTTTTTCAAATTTCGCCAGTCCGGACAATGTCAAAATTTGAACACCTCCGTTTTGGCACTACAATCTAATCCAAGATGGTTGTCGGCAAGTTTCAAGTCGTCGACAAAGGCAATCGCTCCAGTATCTCTTACCTTCCTGAGTAGGGAGTATTTTGTCTTAGAACTTGGAGCAGTGCATCAGATAGTATTTCTTACAGATGCCAAATCTGTCCTGCAATCCCTAAAAAATCCAGAGTCCTATACTCAATCACTTAGGACAGCACTAGAAAAGCTAATAAATACCTGCAGCAGAATTGTGCTGCAGTGGATCCCGGGCCACTGCCAGGTACAGGGCAGTGTTTCTTCCAGACTTTTTTCTCAGGGGGGGCACTTGAAATTTTCGGGGGGGCGGTAAACTTTCTTCGGGGGGGCGGACACTGTTAAAAGTATATATTTTCTATATAAATTATATAAATTTCATTTCGTTCGGGGGGGCGGTAAGAAACTCTGGTACAGGGTAATGAGATTGCAGACCAGCTGGCAAAAATTGGGGGAAAGAAAAAACAACCAGAAATCTCGCTACACCCAAAAGAAATAAAAAGAATAATAAAAAACAAACGCAAATGTGGTCTGACACACACCCTCACTACAATAAAGATGATGGATATTATAATTTGACACGAAAACAACAATACATAATCTTTCGACTTAGAACAGGCCACAACAGACTAAATCAACAATTGCATAAAAAACTAAAGGTTGGGTGTGGCGAAATGTGCACCTGTGGCAAGGCCCCAGAAAATACGGAGCACGTCCTTCAGGAATGTTCTTTGTATAGCCAGGCGCGAGTCAGACACTGGCCCCTGCTCACCCCACTCAGAGAAAAATTATATGGGAAACCTGCTGATCTGGAGACCACAGTCCGGTTTGTTCACGAAGTTGGGCTTGTTGTTTAAATCCTCCACCATATTCTCAATTAAGAACGAAGAAGAAGAAGAAGAAAGAGCAGTGCAACTTCAATAGCGATTCTTTATTAATTTGTAATAAATGATTAGGCTCTGAATGAATTGGATGTTTTATTCCTTAGATTAGAAGTATGGTCTAACTATAGCAAATCTCGCCAACTCTACATTCGGTTAACATTAGGACGCCATCTCCTATAGGTAGGACGAGATCTCGTTTAATTAGAACGAGATCTCGTGTAAGCCTCGCACGAGCCTGCTAACTCCTCGGATTTGTAACCTGCTTTGATTTTGTTTGCAAGGTTCGATAACCACGCCGAAAAGCAAGGGAGGGAAGTGTGAAAATTTGTTTTTCAACGATTTGAAAAATAAATACATCAACGGTGCAATTTTTTGTTTGCAAGCACCGCGCGAGACCTGCTTGAAGGGGCACAGAAGTCAACTCGCTAAGGGGAGAGCAGTCACGCTAGCCGTGACACGACCCAACAACAAACAGCGTGTCACGTGATTTCACTTGGACACAATTTTTTTGTTGTATGCGCCAAGGAGGAAAAGCCGGGGAATTAGGATCAGACCAAACTACGGCTGGATAGGATGACACCACATCCAGCGAATATGGCTTCCTTCTTTTTACAGGTTATTTCAACTTTTTTATTTTATTTTTAATTTTACGAAATAAAAAAAAAAAGAACTAAATTAGATGTTGCATAAATCATTAAAGAATTGAAAAAATATATAAGAAGGCTTCGATCGAAGTTATATGAAATTAAAATATAGGACTAGTTATTTAAATTTAGTTGAAATATTTTTTTTACATACTATTAAAATTACAAATTATTACTTCATTTGAGTTCTGCTCTATAATTAAAGTTTGAAATTTAAAAAATTCTTATTTAACTGTGATATTGCTAATTAGATTGATGAGATCGCGTATTCAAGTAAAATCGTCCTAATAATATAATTAGTCATCCCACTTTAAAACAACACGTGTAGGCCTACACAACTTTATGTAGTGAGAACCTTCACGTCAAAACATTTTTTTTTTCACTACAGCTACGTCATGTGTGTGTAACGTTTGCTGTGTTGCTGACCATAGCGACGTGTGCCGCGAAAGAAGCAGAATTAAACGGTAAATCTATTGTAAACTTAAGAATCAAAAACATGCATCAGGATGTTTCTTATTAGTTTACAGGATAGTTTAGTAAACAAGGTCTTTTAAACAATGAGTAAGAAGCGATGACCAACTCAGTCAGGTACCCATTAGAGCTGGGTGGACTCAGGGACGTCTTTCGGACTCTGGATACGATCTCGAGACTTTCGGGTTAGGAGTTGTACGCTCTTCTTCTCGACCACGCCGTCGTGCTAAACGTTTATTTGCTTAGTAGAATTAATGGCATTAATGGATTAGGGGTAGCTCAGTACCCAGTCATGATATCAGTACAGTGAGTACCCAAAGACCAATAGGGATACATCAGTACCCAAAGGTTAATAGGGATACATTATTACCCAAAGGTCAATAGGGATACAGTAGTACGCAAAGGTCAATAGGGATACAGTAGTACCCAAAGGTCAATAGGGATACATTAGTACCCAAAGGTCAATAGGGATACATTAGTACCCAAAGGCCAATAGGGATACATTAGTACCCAAAGGTCAATAGGGATACATTAGTACCCAAAGGCCAATAGTGATACATTAGTACCCAAAGGCCAATAGGGATACATTAGTACCCAAAGGCAAATAGGGATACATCAGTACCCAAAGGCCAATAGGGATACATTAGTAAAGGTCAATAGGGATACATCAGTACCCAAAGGTCAATAGGGATACGTTAGTACCCAAAGGTCAATAGGGATACATCAGTGCCAAAACATGAAGCCTACGTATAAAACATAACCCGTTTTAAAAAAAAACAATGTCATTAGTATTGAATGCTGAGATATTATTTTATCCTATTGTTCGGTGACAGGGGTCGGCGTGGTCGAGTCAGTTGTGCTTATGGTTGCTAAACCTCAAAGTACGGAGTTCGATCCCCCGGGCAAACGAAGATCGACAGCTGGGGACAGCAACTCTTTTACGAGAGACAACTCCAAAATCAAACAACTGCTGCCATATAGTTTGTTCTTGGTAGGACAAAGGCTATGGAAGCAAATAAAAAAAAAACAGGCTGAAATCGGAGTTAACGGCCCATACGGCGCATAACAAGTTGTCACGTAATACTTAATTGTGTTGGATGGAATCCCTTCCAACACTAGAATTAAGAACGAAGAAGAAGAAGTGTTACATGCGTCAAATATATATAATAGCTCAGCTACTTTTCTTTTTTGCCGCCTTTAATGTTTTTGTATTAACCAGATATCTTGATTTTGCCCAGATGCGTAGCGACCCTTCCCGGCGCCCGGGAACAAAATTTCGATTTGCACCCCCCCCCCCTCAAACTTTCGATTTGCACCCCCCTCAAACTTTCGATTTGCACCCCCCCCCCCTCAAGATTTCGATTTGCACCCCTCCTCGAACTTTCAATTTGCACCCCCCTCAACCTTTCAATTTATTTTCCCAACCCATTTTGGCGCCCCCTAAGGTCGGCGCCCGGGAACATATTCCCCCCCCCCCCCCCCTCGCTACGCTACTGATTTTGCCCTTCGCCAGAATGGAAACCCCCCCCCCCCCCTTTAATAGTCCTCATTACGCCATTAAAATAATACTAATTTTCCAAAGTTTTTATTCGCGCCTTCAAAATAGACAAGTGAACTCTACTTCACTTGCCCCATAGACCGTTAGGTTTGAAAGGGAAACTTTACTTTTTTACTTCAAAATAAAATCACTTAACTTATTGTTTAATCTTTCATAGCATCTCTCAAAATTACCTCTATTTTAACTCACTCGTACTTCAGAATGTGAGAGAGGCGTCAAGCGCCACCACCCATCACAGGCCAACCTGTACCAGATTTTTACACGCAAGGACTTCCGGAAACAGTGGCTGGACTACTCGTGCCCAGAGTTCACGATCTTTGACCCCAGGTCATGTGACTGTGTGGACAGTCCACGGAGCGAGGCCCAGAGGTCGAGTCCGAACAGAGCGGTGTCTAAGAATCAGAGTTCCAGACAGCGATCAACAAGGTTTGGCCAGATGTCTGGTACCATGCTGAACAGTGACATTAGATGGACACACTATCGTACTGAACTCTGACATTATATAGACACACCAGACTATAGTACTGACACACCAGACTATAGTACTGACACACCAGACTATAGTACTGACACACCAGACTATAGTAGTGATACACCAGACTATAATACTGACACACCAGACTATAGTACTGACACACTAGACTATAGTACTGACACACCAGACTATAGTACTGACACACCAGACTATCGTACTGACAGACCAGACTATAGTACTGACACACCAGACTATAGTACTGACACACCAGACTATAGTACTGACACACCAGACTATAGTACTGACACACCAGACTATAGTACTGACCACTGACATTATAGTAGACACACCAGACTATAATACTGACAGACCAGACTATCGTACTGACACACCAGACTATAGTACTGACACACCAGACTATAGTACTGACCACTGACATTATAGTAGACACACCAGACTATAATACTGACAGACCAGACTATCGTACTGACACACCAGACTATAGTACTGACACACCAGACTATAGTACTGACCACTGACATTATAGTAGACACACCAGACTATAGTACTGACCACTGACATTATAGATTGACACACCTGAGTATCCTACTGACCTCTGACCTTAGATGGACACACTAACACTGACAATATATGACAAACCTGACTACAATACTGAACACTGACAGTATATGACACACCAGACCACCATATTGATCACGGACAATATATGACAATATATGACACACCACCACACTGACCATGGGCAATACACCGTACAGTAAATAAATAGTAAAGGGTCAAATCTGACCATCTTACTAACCACAGAGCATCATCGACATTTACGAATCCCTATTGACCTTCCATACGTACACTTTACCACTGACCCTCAACAAACTATCAACTTACATACCATCGTCAGCCCCACCCAACTTAATGAACAGTCTATTATAACAATTTGCGAGACAAGCAATTTCACACCAATGGACATATTCGGACATACTTTAATATGATATTAAACAATTATAAAAAAAAATATTTTTAAAAATATTACCACCTATTATTACAACCTATGCCCAGATGTGATGAGCAGGTTATAATTTAAACCTTACCAGGTGTTCTTCTGAAATACAAATTTTAGACAAGAGTCAACCATTTTTTTTCCAGGACAGAATCGGAAGATGTTAACGACGGAGTCAGGGGAAGTAACGCTGGGAAAGGGAGTGAAGACAGCGGGGCACAGAACAACGGGTGGAGCAAAGACAACTCATGGGGAGGTAAGCAGACAACCAGGGGGAGAGAATCGACCAGCAGTCGAACAAAACAGGACAGCAACTGGGTAAAAACTCAAGGGAAGCCATCAGGCAAAAGTTCGAGCAGCTGGGCAGACGAGAGTCAGACGGGGAAAGAGCAGAACGGCGGATGGGGAAAACAAGAGAGTAAACAAAATGGCGGGTGGGGTAAGCAAGGCTCAACCGGAAGTAAACAAGACAGCGCGTGGGGACGAGACAACCAGGACGACCCGGATTGGGACAAGGATAACAGCGCAGACGATGAAAGCGAACCGGAACCGTCTGCCTTTTCACCCAAAAATGAAGGCTTTAAAAACAAGTGAGTCTGTCAGCGTATTTCATTGTAAGGTTCGTTTAGTTTACCTGCATGAGAAATACTAGCATAAAACAACCTACACGCGTGATAGTATTACAGTAGTGTACGTTATGTGTGGTTCTCAGAAAAATGCGCAAACGGAAAGTTGCGCGAACGGAAAAGTGCGCAACGGAAAACTACGCAAACAGAAAGATGCGCAAAAGGAAAAGTGCGCAAACAGAAAGAAGCGCAAATACTAGTAATTATACTAATACACTTTAATTTTGTCAAAGTTCGTGGAAAAGTATTTTATTATGCTACAATGCACATGTGGTCATACCTTTTAATGTTTATAAATGCTCGATTTTAGAAAGCAAAATTGCCCCTCCGCACTTTATGAGCACAGTTTTCCCTTGCGAAACTTTCCAGTCGCCGTTGTGTGCGTGTTCGTCCGTTAATGACGTAATGTTTTTGTTGACGATTTTTTTTACCTTTACGGTTTAATTTATTTGCATCAAATCCCACATATTGGAGCAACTCCACTTATTAAAAAATAAATGCATCAATCCAATGTTAAAAATAAATAAAATTGTAGCTTATCAATTGAGCAGATTAAACTTATATTACAAATGCATCAACTTATATTTACAAACTCATCAACACGGTTTCTTTCATTGGATTTGATTAATGGTACATTGAAAGTTCTTGTTAAAAACCACATAATGTAACACAAGCATGTATAAACCACAAAGTAATAGAGGCTTGAAAAAAAACCCACTGAATAACCACCTACTGTAACTACACAAGAAACCAGTTAAATATTCAGTTAAATTATTTTCCAGTCCTTATTTAAGCTTTACCCTAACAACTATTGGTGTCTGGGTACAGTGTAGTCACAAAAGCTGGGCTAGCAGGCCTTGACTAAACATACACCCAAATGGACAGTTGTTTCTGACCCCAACGGGTCCAAATATCACAACAAACAGCTAGAGTTACATCACTGTAGGCCAGTCGGCTTCTCCGCTGGCTCATACTTCCAGTTATCATCCTGTAACTTACTTACTTAATCCTCATCACTCCCTGTGGAGTATAGGGCAGCAACGAATCTCCGCCATTCCACCCTGTCCTGGGCGAGCCACTTTAGTTCATGCCAGGTTTTGCCAGTAGCCTGTACTTCTTCTTCCATCTCCCTCCTCCATGTTCCCAGTGGTCTTCCTCTATTTCTCTTTCCGGGTGGGTTCCACTTCAGCGCCATGTTGGGGAGTCTTTTTATGCTCATGCGTAGGACATGGCCCAGCCATCTCCATCTCCTTGTTCGAACTTCTGAGACAATGTCGTTTAATCCTGTCCTTCGCCATATTTCCTTGCTCGGGACTTTGTCGTCCCACTTTATCCTGAGGATGCGTTGGAGGGATCTTCTTTCAAAACCTCTGAGTCGGCTCTCTCCTTTCTTGTTTAGTTTCCATGACTCTGCAGCATACAGGAGTACAGAACGTTATCATCCTGTAAACTGGCACTCTCAACTCTCTCAGCTCCTTCAGCCTCTGTATGTGCAGGTCTTTTTTTAATATATACGAGTCGACCCACGGCGTATCATACGCCGCTATTTAGTTCTTTTATTTTCTACTTTTCAGTAATTCATAATTTGTGAATTCGACAGTACCAATGCTGCCACTGAAAATATTTGCTTTAAAACACTATCAGTAGGTCGTTAAGAACGATACTACTCCCACCCTCCTTTCCCCCAACCCCTACCCTACACCCCCCCCCCCGTGAAAGCAGTCTCCTCTTAGTTACCTCCCCTAAGTTTAAAATCGTTTCAAATTAAATTATCTGCCCCTAATAGCCGTCACTAAACCCGGCTCTACGATTGTAAACATTTAGCGTGAACCACAGCTCACCAGACCATGTAGGGGTGGGATGGTAGGGAGCGCACTTACAGCTTGTTTTCTAGCGTCTCCAAGAAGAGAATTATATATATAGATACAGATTCATATCAATGTCTTGTTCCAGCTGAACCGTATAGATGAGAGACTGAACTAAAGTTGGTACATAAACAAATGGGGAATGTGTCTTTATTTTTTAGAGACAGTTAGATCTACGACCCTTTTTTACAAACTTTTATTTAACTCACTTCCTCGTCAGTCTGTCTGTCTGTCTAGATCGAAACGCCCGAGCGAAATTGCAGCACTTCTAACTGACAGTGCGGACACTGTTAAAAGTATATATTTTCTATATATAAATATATAAATTTCATTTCGTTAGGGGGGGGGGGGGCGGTAAAAAAATTTCGGGGGGGGGGGGGGCTTCGCTCCCCCGAAGAGATGCCTGGAAGAAACTCTGATTGGATACTTTCACTAATATTTAGGAAGCGACCCACGCTTTTCTTTATAGTTATATAAATGGTAGTGTATTATATTACTATATATTTAAAGAAACTCATTTATTTTCTACTTTTTAGTGCATTAGTACATACAAGCTTGTTATTAAAACGTTTTTTTAATAACATTTTGTAATATTACATTCAATTTCAAATCAAACTAGAATCTACTATGGCACGCTATGAAGCTGCTTCTTCCATTATTTGAAACACAAATCTTTACTAGAATCTACTATGGCACGCTATGAAGCTGCTTCTTCCATTATTTGAAACAAAAATCTTTAAAAAAGCTTTATTTCAATCGCCTTCTCCTGTATCAGTGAGCTCAACATTTGCAACAGGACCAGAATTTATTCCATCCATGTCTCTCATCTACAGATATTTAAATTTTAACATTTTTTTTTTGTTTAAATTAATAGTAGTCTATAATTTATTTCTCCTTGTTAAAACCTGAAATTATTTATAGCCAAAAATTATTTATAACGGATGGCATACCACGAATACATGTTATTGATGCGAAATCTTTAAAGTTTAAAAATTAATTTTGAAATAACAAACGTTTTCTATTTAAACTAGAGTCATATAGTAATTCAAAATTCAAACATTAGAAATAATAGACACATAAATATAAACATGTTATTATTTCTGTGTAACACACTAATCACTAATAGCGTTTTTAAAAGTATTAGCTATTAGTGATAAAAATCTTTGTATTTTTGAAGACTTTGGGAACATAGTTAAGGGTCATTTCCCTTGAATTTTTATTAGGGGAAATAAGTAACATTTTCAATGTCAATTAAAATTATTCTTCAAAAAGAAATTTAGCTTAATTATTAACTTTTATAAAACGGTTTTATACCTTGAAGTTTTATATCTAATTAAAAATTAAACTTATCATTTTTGTTATTATTGTATATTGTACTTCGTAAAGTGACCCGTGATTTTGTAGGTAATGGCGCTGATGCTAGGGTGGAAGAAATGCACGATGAAAGTTAAAGTCAGTGATGGGGTCCGCTGATAAGACCATTTTTGGACTGCCCCTTTGTAATTTGCTACAATCTTTGAAAAACTCTACTCCCTCTTTCATCCGTAGTGCTGGAATTTGTGCATCTGTCCCATTTGGGCACACTTCTATTCGTCATCTGTCTCATTTGGGCAAACTTCTATTCGGGCATCTGTCCCATTTGGGCAAACTTCTATTCGGGCATCTGTCCCATTTGGGCAAACTTCTATTCGGGCATCTGTCTCATTTGGGCAAACTTCTATTCGGGCCAGAGGCGTAGCGAGGGGGGGGGGGGGGCACGGGGGGGACATATGTCCCCGGGCGCCGACCTTAGGGGGGACGCCAAATTGAAAGTTTGAGGGGGGTGCAAATGAAAAGTTCGAGGGGGAGTGCAAATCGAAATTTTGAGGGGGTGGGGGGGGGTGGGGGGGGGGGGGGGTGGGGGGGGGGGGGTGGGGCGGGGGGGTGGGGGGGGGGTTTGCAAATTGAAAGTTTAAGGGGGGCGGGTGCAAATGAAAAGTTCGAGTGGGGGGGGGGGGGGGGGTTGGTGCAAATCGAAAGTTTGTCCCCGGGCGCCGGAAGGGGTCGCTACCAGTGGCGGAACTAGAAAAAAAAGGCTCCCCCGCAAAGAAAAAATTAGGGCCCCCTATATATATATACATATATTTATATATATAAATAAATAAATAAATAAATAAATAAATATATATATATATATATATATATATATATATATATATATATATATATATATATATCCTAACTGAGTAATTTAGTCTACTTCATTGCAATAAATGACCATTCTGAGAGCACAAACCAGAAAAAATTTAGTTTAAACTCATCTTGTGTTACATAAGTATCATGAACAGGCTGGTCAAAAATATATAAATACGTTAGCTTGATTCGTGAATGGTTTCTCGCGTTATGTTTATTTTTTCATTTTTGGCTTTTATAATATCAATTTTGAAAACATTGATTTTTATATCCATACTATTGTATAGTATGTCTTATTTAAGTAACAATTCATAGAATCAATTGCTTTTTAATATACATAGTACAAAACTATTTAAATAAGCTTCGTGGGCATCCCTATTTTTAAAAAGGGCAGTAAGTCATGGAAGTAGTGGGAATGTTTACCTACCTTTCAAACTATAGCTCTTGTAGATTTTAAAATATTTTTCTACGCAACAATCTCTGCTATAGTAGACCTGTTGTTTTTTTTTTGTTTTTTTTTTTTTTTTTTGCAAAACCACTTTCAAGATGCATGAAAAACATAATTTTTGAAAAAAAAATTCAATGTTTTTTGGTCGGAACTGGGCCCCTAAACGTCCTGGCCCCCCCCCCGCATTGCGGGGTCTGGCGGTATGGTAGTTCCGCCCCTGGTCGCTACGCCTCTGATTCGGGCATCTGTCTCATTTGGGCAAACTTCTATTCGGGAATTTGTCCCAATAGGGCAAACAGTCTTCGGGCAAACTACACTCGGACATTTGATTTTCGTGCAGTTGTGGTAGACCCAACTATGAAATACAATTTTGAAATGGCAAGCGATTCGAGCACACGCCAACAACCGTTGTATACGACACGAGGCAGCCGCCATTTTGTGTGTACACGTCACTGATCTGCGCAGTGCATTGAAGTAGCTTTATTGGCATAGTTATTACGTCATAGCCCACCTCGATTTATTTTTGCTTTCGACAGTGAGTCTAAAAATAGAGTTGCCGATCACATTGAGCATAAGAAAAAGAGACGGCAATCCATTCTTAATGTGATAAAATAATCAGCAACACATTAAAAAAAAAGGACCAATCAGTCAAGATACCCCCCACAGCCTATGCATCCTACTAATTTCTAAACATATTGCGATAAAACTGTTTTTAAAAGTTTAATAAATGTTTATTTACTTGAGAATAATTTCATACGCTCACTAACGTTTTTTTTTAAATATTAAAATTTTATATTTTTATTCATTTGTTTTTTTTGCCTAGTCGATTCTGTTTTTTTTTTGACAAACACAATAACGAAAGGCTAGCGTACTATCACTCAGCATTCACACATGGGTCAAGATGTAGTTCTTCCCAGAAAACCACGAATTAAAAAACCAAATCATTTTAATAGTATGAAACAAAACGATTAAAATTTTTTCCAGAATCAACACGATCGAACGCACCAATCAAATAGACGCCGAGAGCTCTTCAACTAAAAAAGGGGAGTGTCAGTAAGTAACTTTAAACATGTATTAAACTCACAACTATTTACGTTTTATTCAATTGTTTACTACATTATCAATAGTACATTGTCATTAACTATTGTGAGATATGAGTTATATATTAAGCTGCATAACAGACTAATTGGTAATTTTATGTAAAATCATCAGCTATGTAGATAATTATTACGCTGTTTTAAAACAAGTAGTGTAAATGACCAACTATTCCTGTTATAATAAAAAATTAGTGTAAATGACAAATTTGTTCCTGTTATATGAAAAAAGTAGTGTAAATGACCTATTATTGTTGTTATAAAACACACGCAGTGTAAATGACCTCTGTTAGTAACACAAGTAGTGTAAATAACCAATAATTCCTGTTATAAAACACAAGTAGCATAAATGACAAATTATTCCTGTTATAAGAAACAAGCAGTGTAAAACAAGTAATGTAAATGACCAATTATTCCTGTTATAAGAAACAAGCAGTGTAAAACAAGTAATGTAAATGACCTATTATTCCTGTTATAAGAAACAAGCAGTGTAAAACAAGTAATGTAAATGACCTATTATTCCTGTTATAAGATACAAGTAGTGTAAAACAAGTAATGTAAATGACCAACTGTTCTTCCCCTCCCCAGCCTCCACCGACCGTCCACCAACCCCTCCCACTTCGAGCGCTGGTCAGACGGTCAGTGGGTCCAGGAGGACTGCAACTGGCCCTTCTACACAGGGCTGGTCTGGAACCAGGGCACGTGCCGCTGTGAGTGGGGGCCCAACCGCACCCTGGCCACGCCCATGTTCGGAGACAGTGAGATGTTTTTAGACACCTCGTGTACCATCGCAGCACCATGTCATGACATCTCTTACGTCATCGCTACACATATGACATTTACACGCTTTCAGACACCGCGTGTATCATCATAGCACCAAGTCATCTCTTACGTCATTGCTACACATGTCATATGACATTTACACGCTTTCAGAACCCTCGTATATCACCACAGACTCATGTCATGATATCTCTTAAGTCATCGTTACACATGTCAATGACATTTACACGTTTTTAGACACCTCATATATCATCACAGCACCATGTCATGACATCTCTTACGTCATCGCTACACATGTCAAATGACATTTACACGCTTTCAGATACCTCGTGTATCATCATAGCACCATGTCATCTCTTACGTCATCGCTACTAATGTCATTTGACATTTACACGCTTTCAGACACCTCGTATATCATCATAGTACCAAAGCATATGATAATTACACACTTACAGAGCCTCTTACATCAGCACAGCCCCATGTCATAATCACATGCCATTTACACACCCTGTTTTACCTTACACTAGAATACCTCACGTCATTTAGATTTCTTTTACATTAAAATCACAACAACACATGGTCATGGAACTCAGACAATTTTTGCAGATCATTATTAGATCTAATTCTACTCAAATAACATATATTTTAGACGTAAAAACTGTTCATCTTGTTCTATTGTCTTCTCTTTGAGTCAGTCCTATCTTGTTCTTACGTGTAGGCGTGGCTTATATTAGCAAGCTGGGCTGCTGAGTCAACATTAGGGGATCCTTGCGATCATGTTTAGGACTCTGGGATCACGATTAGGGTTTAGGGGTTAAAGTTAATTGCTTTTTGACATTTTTTTGCAAGGTTTTGTGAGGAGGGTGTATGGATTTTTGACGACTTTACAGTCAGAAAATATTTGATTTGCTCAGCAGTCCTGATTAAAATGTTTTCAAATTCACATTGGTTATGATATCATGTTGAGATGTAGGCCTACTGAACAAAACTTCGGATTAATTGTTCATTTATTATCTCAAATCGTTATTTGTATGTTACCTGTACGTCATGTAATGACAGGTGTGCCTGCAGCGTGTCTGATGATGCTAAAAATGTCATTCAATGGCGGGAGTATAGTGGATGAGGGCAGACACATCTGGCTCAACATCAAGGACAAAGAGAACGCTCATGTCGAGTCTGATAGCACTGCCGTGGGAGGTAAATGCGGCTCGTTTAGGTAAGTCAAACTATTTTAATGGTTACCTCCCCTGGGTTATTTTTGTCTAAGATTTCTTTGACTGTTTACCATTATATTATTGACAATGAAACTTTTCTCATTTTTATTAAAATATTAAAATATAAGCAATGTCAATATTCTATGGAAAATGACAAAAATTATAAATTCTTACTACCTTAAATTAAAACGAATTTTAAATATATTCGTAGTCATTAGAATCTCGTTCAAAGAATTAAAAAATAGAAGTCTTACATTAAAAAAATTTCACATAACGTAATAAATGCTAGCATAGAGCCCACGCAGTTCAATTTGAAGACCCAAAAAATACTAGACAGACACGTCGATGCCATACAAGTGAGGATCAGTTAAGGAGAAAATCCTAAAATAGAAGACTATTGGTGGATGTGCAAGAATTTTTTTAAAGTATTTTTTATTGATAACGGTCAAAGGAAAACTATATTTGTTCAAATACATCTTGTATTTAATGAAATAAATCTCGTATTTAATTAAATATTTTATATTATACATCTCGAATTTGATGAAATATAGCTTTTATTTAATGAAATATATCTCGTATTTGAGGAAATACATCTCGTATTTGATTAATTTAAATACATCTTGTATTTGATGAAACACATCTTGTATTTGAAGGAATACATCTTGTATTTAATGAAATACGTCTTGTATTTAATGAAACACACTTCTTAATAAATTAAATACATTTCGTATTTGAATACATCTCGTATTTGATGAAATACATCTGGTATTTTATTAAATACATCTGGTATTTTATTAAATACATCTGGTATTTGAAGAAATACATATGGTATTTGATGAAATACATCTGGTATTTGATGAAATACATATGGTATTTGATTAAATACATCTGGTATTTGATGAAATACATCTGGTATTTGATGAAATACATCTGGTATTTGATGAAATACATCTGGTATTTGATGAAATACATCTGGTATTTGATGAAATACATCTGGTATTTGATGAAATACATCTGGTATTTGATAAAATACATCTGGTATTTGATAAAATACATCTGGTATTTGATTAAATACATCTGGTATTTGATGAAATACATCTGGTATTTGATGAAATACATCTGGTATTTGATGAAATACATCTGGTATTTGATAAAATACATCTGGTATTTGATTAAATACATCTGGTATTTGATGAAATACATCTGGTATTTGATGAAATACATCTGGTATTTGATAAAATACATCTGGTATTTGATGAAATACATCTGGTAATTGATGAAATACATCTGGTATTTGATGAAATACATCTGGTATTTGATAAAATACATCTGGTATTTGATGAAATACATCTGGTATTTGATGAAATACATCTGGTATTTGATAAAATACATCTGGTATTTGATGAAATACATCTGGTATTTGACAAAAGATCCTGTTTTGATGAATACAAGGCCTAGTTGACTAACATTGTAAACTCAGATTAAAAGCTGTTTCTGCACTGAAGTCGTTTAGTTAGTTATCACAGCATCACCATACAACACAAACCTCCTTATCGCGGCATCACCATACAACACAAACCTCCTTTAAAAACCAATCATTACACCCTACCACACGATCCTCTCTCCCTGTCATAAAATCCCCTCTCCGTCACACAATCCCCTCTCCCGCCAACAACTCTCGAACCTGCCACACAATCCTCTGCACACAATCCTCTGTCCCTACTACACAATCCTTTTTTCCTTACCACCCAATCCTCTGTCGCTACCACCGTTTTTCTATCCCTTCCACCCAATCCTCTCTCCCTACCACCCAATCCTCTATCCCTACCACCCAATCCTCTCTCCCTACCACCCAATCCTCTCTCCCTACCACCCAATCCTCTCTCCCTACCACCCAATCCTCTCTCCCTACCACCCAATCCTCTCTCCCTACCACCCAATCCTCTCTCCCTACCACCCAATCCTCTCTCCCTACCACCCAATCTTCTCTCCCTACCACCCAATCCTCTCTCCATACCACCCAATCCTCTCTCCCTACTACCCAATCCTCTCTCCCTACCACCCAATCCTCTCTCCCTACCACCCAATCCTCTCTCCCTACCACCCAATCCTCTATCCATACCACCCAATCCTCTGCACCCAATCCTCTACACCCAATCCTCTATCCCTGCCACAGAGGCTCCACCATCGCCATCCCCTACTTCAAGAGCAACGTCCTGGGCCCAGTCTTCCACATCGGCTTCATGTTCAAGCTCTGCCCGGGGGATCCAGACACCGACATCCCCCTCATACACAACGACTGTCTCGAGAGCCAGGAGCCGCCCGGCATTGTTGTAAGTACCGGCATTTTCCGGCTTTTCCATACACTCAATGCAATGTTTGTTATTTAGGATATACCAGTATTTCACCTGGTGCTTCATACACGATGTAGATAAGTTGAACTGTGCGGATTATGTTACTGGATAGTATTTAAGCATATCATTGTAAGTTCTGATGCTGTGTGATGCCAAAGTGTGCTGATGATGGTGACAAAAGTTGATGTTGATGATGAGGCATAATGACAATGTAGACACCTTCCATTATTAGCTAGTTTTCTAAAAGAACTCATATGTATTCTATTCCTAATGTAAGTAGAGGTTTCCTTACTATGTGGTGTAACATGTTTTCTCTACTTGAACCTGTAGGTTGTTTACCAAGCCTGGAAGAAGAGGCTCGTGGTTTCCATGAGGACCGTCAACAGTGAAGAGCTCTCATCAGAGTTCTGTCCCTTCGACAACTCCCAGGTAAAACAGGAAGAGGAGTTCGTAAGCAGGCAGAGTTAATGAAATAACAAATGTAAACAATGCCGTAGGTAGGCAGCGTCATCATTTCCCGTTCGTGCCCAAAACACATGGGGCAGATTGCTTCAGAGAAAACAGTTGGGTGGATTCAAGTCATTCTGATTAAAATTTGAACCCGGATTCGAATTCGTGACTTGCGTGTTAGCAGTCTGGCGCTCTACCGCTAGGTCACACCGTTCCATGTAGGTAGACATGGGTACGTGATCAGGTCCGAAGTGTTGATACTTCTGGCATGAGCACAGTAGGCATGGCCAGTCGGTGTCGTGAGGTATGGCGGGTTCGAATCTCGTCTGGCAGTAGATTGCTGTCTTTACTAGGTTTTATGTACTTATGTCTACATTAGGCGTTGTGGAAATATTCATGTCTACAGTAGTTATTAGTTAAAACAACGGGGAGCTTTTCTTCTTCAAGTTGACTGAGAAGGGGGTGGGTGAAGGGGAGGTGTCTAAAGGTGTGGACAGCTAAATACCTGAACAATCTAGAACAACTGCACTTTGCTTCATTGTCATCTTAGACTCACATATCTAAAATCATTGAACTTAATTCATTCTTGTTCCCGGTTATTTTTTAGGGTGTTGTTTTTAATACCCCCACCCCCACCAATGACAAGCTCCTACCTAGGTTGTAGCCAATAGATTCAACGTTTAACTAGTTAGCTCTACTTGACCTGCCATTAGAACGTTCACGGTGTGTCCTCTCCCCATATCTCTCCTACAGAACCAGTGGGTAAAGATCGACATCCGCTACGGTGAGAACTTTCTGGAAGTTGTCGCCAACAATGAAGTTTGTGTTAGCTCGGAGAAGTTTCATGGTGAGTGTCTTCAGACTGGCTGTTTGTGTCTTCAGACAGGCTGTTTGTGTCTTCAGACAGGCTGTTTGTGTCTTCAGACAGGCTGTTTGTGTCTTCAGACAGGCTGTTTGTGTCTTCAGACAGGCTGTTTGTGTCTTCAGACAGGCTGTTTGTGTCTTCAGACAGGCTGTTTGTGTCTTCAGACAGGCTGTTTGGGTCTTTAGGCAGGCTGTTTGTGTCTGCAGACAGGCTGTTTGTGTCTTCAGACAGGCTGTTTGTGTCTTCAGACAGGCTGTTTGGGTCTTTAGGCAGGCTGTTTGTGTCTGCAGACAGGCTGTTTGTGTCTTCAGACAGGCTGTTTGTGATATAATGTATGTGACCGGCTATCTGTGACATACTGTTTGTGATATTTGCGTGCTAACTGCCCATATTTTCTTACTTGTTGTTTTAAACCGTACTTCCTTGTTTTGTCCGTCAAAATTTGTCCTTTCCTTCCAATGTGTACTTTAGCTGAGATTGAGAAAAAACTACTTGTACAAGAATTTCCGTCTGTTTAATTGAAGGACGGCAATACACGTCATTTAAAAACATCAAATTTTGTTTCCTCCGGCCAAATCTTTTATTTTAAAATTTAGAATATCTATAAAACTATGATTGTTTGAGATTATAAAAGCAATCGAGTCATTGAAACTATTGTGTAGAATTATCCAGTTCTTTAAGCCCGTAACTGATTGATCTGGAATTCTGAGCCATTAGTGGTTCTAATCAATGTACAAGATCCTAAAGCACTTGTATGATTTTCAAGGAAATTAAAATGATTGTTTTGAATAAATGTACAGTAACTTCAAAGTTGAGTGATTAACTTGCATGATTGTATATGCAGATTGAATGATTGACATGCATGATGTACATAAACTGTAGAGCTGCATGATTGACATGACTTTTGTATGATGTACACGAACTTAACTCTTCCATTGCCAGGTCCAGTGGCCACCAACAACTGTCCCTTGACGCTGCTAGGTGAGGCGTTCTGTGGCAAGCTGGACGAGGTAATTAGTGGAGTCACGGACATTTGGAACCTTTTTGTCACATTCGTGATGTTAAACCATTCTTTACAACAGATATTTAAATAATTCTTTACAACAGATATTTAAACCATTCTTTACAACAGATATTTGAATAGTTCTTTCAATAGATATTTTAAACCATTCTTTACACTAGATATTTTAAACCATTCTTTACACTAGATATTTTAAACCATTCTTTACACTAGATATTTGAATAGTTCTTTACAACAGATATTTAAACCATTCTTTACAACAATTATTTGAATAGTTATTTACAACAGATATTTAAATAATTCTTTACAACAAATATTTAAATAATTATTTACAACAGATATTTAAATAATTCTTCACTCTAGATATTTAAATAATTCTTTATACTAGATATTTATATAATTCTTTACAGTTAGATATTTAAATAATTATTTATACTTGATATTTAAATAATTCTTTACAGTTAGATATTTAAATAATTCTTTACAACAGATATTGAAATAATTCTTTACACTAGATATTTAAATAATTCTTTACACTATATATTTAAATAATTTTTTTCACTAGATATTTTAAACCATTCTTTACACTAGATATTTAAATAATGCTTTACACTTAATATTAAAAACCACTTTTCATAGTACATATTTTTAACCATTCTTTACACGTCATAATTGAAACCATTCTTTACATTTTACGTTGTTTGAATGATCTCAATTCAGAAATATTACGTAACTCCAAACAGTTTAAATTACTTTGAGAATTCAAAATCTTTTACAAAAACTCGGTCAACATCAAATCATCTGCAGAATTAAGTTTTCAATGTAAACACAAATTGCCTTAAATCTCGTTCTCTTTGCCTTTATTATTCTTCAAAGAGTTCTCACATGACAAAGCGCTGTCTTTTGTACATTTGCAATTCTCGTGACCAAACTTTTCTAACACAATTTATTTGAA